CGCGCGCCCGCGCCCGAGACGCCCACCCGTTCCCGGCTGCCACCCCGGGGCACGACGAGATGACGCGCTGGGAGTCGGTCACGGTCTCCCAACTGCGTACCGGATGTTCGCCACTCACCCGGGATACGCTGCTACGGCTGGAGCTGGCGGAAGACGACCGCTGCCCTGCCTGCTCCGAGCCCGATAGCGTCGAGCACCTACTAACGGAGTGTCCCGCATGCTCCCGCACCCGAGGCCGGCTCTGGGGTTTCACGCCAACACTCCGTGAAATCTTCCAGGAGCCGGCCAATAAAATCACGGAGTTTCTCCGAGGAGTGGGGCGCGCCGAACCCCCCGTCGACGTGCTCCCCCTCCCCCTAGGGGGCCCGCCGCGTGGCGTGCAAGAAGAGAGAGAGAGAGAGAGAGAGAGAGAGAGAGAGAGAGAGAGAGAGAGAGAGAGAGAGAGAGAGAGAGAGAGAGAGAGAGAGAGAGAGAGAGAGAGAGAGAGAGAGAGAAAGACGAGGAAGACATCGACCTCACCGTGAGGATCTGCCATATTTGGAGGCAACTGCGAAGACGGAAGCTAACAGGAACCAGCTGCTGGTCTGCGATCAACCAAGAAGTGACGAAGATAGTCGTAAACCGGGATGTCGAACTGACCGGAAGTCGTTTGCAATGATAGCCACGACGTCCTTAGGAGCCTCCTTCCAGAGATGTATGCGACGGTTTTCAATCTATTTGCTGGAAAGTGTGGAAACATGGTAACTGATAAGTGAGGCAGACACTCAAGACAGTGCTGGCCATCGAAAGTCAGGAAGCAGACACCCCAGCGGTAATCGGGTTGCACCCCAGGTGCAACCCGATTGAGGAGCGAGAAGAGGCCAAAGCTCAGCAGGGTCAAGAAGATGTAAGGCGGGGAAGTAAGGTCGCTGATGAAATTGGGAGGGCAGGCGAAGCGAAGTGACACTTGAAGGGGTGTTTTGTGACGTTGGTTTGAATTGTGACGTTTGGATGGTTCGTTGTGACAGGACTGGTGTCGATTAGCATGTAAATAAAGAGATCAAACTCCCATGTACAAGTACTTTTTGTGGATGAGAGTGGGAAATCATTATAATCAAATCAGTGGCACACGTTCCCTCACCACGGTGAGGAAAGTGTAACCAGTAACGTTTAGTAAAATAAGTTACCATTATGCAAAAATGCAGCAATAAACACGAGCACGGCTAGATTGCTTCATTATAAGTTTCATTCATATAAACCATTTTTTTTTTTTGCCTGTGTGAGAAGATATCGAAGTCTGGGCACGAAATATTCGGTTCTGTTTTCGGCCTTTTTCGGCCTCTTACTGCAGCCACCGGAATCCTGTTTCCAATCCAGTACTAATGTTATCTGTGCCCAGGCGGTGCCGGGTTAATTAAATACTATAAGCCCATCAGAATATCATTTACTTGATAAGATAAAGGAAGCCTAGCTATGTCAATCGGAATACACCAATGCATTGAACGGGCTGGCTACAAAAATTGTCTTTTGACATCAAATATTATCCAGTCGTGAAGCCTGTTATTTCACAGCAGCAGTAAGCTCATGTAAGACTAGCAGTGTGCTAAGCATTTTAATTACGAACTTTAAAGTATTGCTGATTACTGTCTCCACAGACATTAAAGTTCACATAATCACCATAAAGAACAAAGTTTCATCAGAGTACATGATTAAAAAATGAGGCAATCAACAAAGTAGCACGAACTTCCGTCAATAGAAGAATATTATGGTGGAATAACAGTGTGAAAAACTGGTGAAGTTGACGATGAGCATTGAACATTTGCATGTCGCCAAATCGAATCGGTACTAACAGGTTATCTTTGTTGAGGAGTGCCGTCCAAAAGCAGCAATCGATATTGAATAATAACAATAAAAACAGACGGACAGTCTGATCAACAGAGACGGATGTCAGTTTTTATCCGGGTCATATTGGAGGTTGTCGTTGAACTGTGCCAGTCGGGCCGTCCATTGGGCCATTCGAGCTGACGCGGTCCCCGCGATCTGAACGGCCAATCTATGACGGTGATGACAATATTGGACGAGCCAGTGGTCTCGATGTGCCACGGTCCGGTCCGCGAGCCGGCGCGCCGGGCCCCGTCGCCGTCCACTATCCGCTCTAACAATGGCTGTATGCTCCCAGATTCATTGCGCCATCAGATTAGTTCCAGTGAAACGGGGCGTTCCGTGAAACGAACTAAAAGAGATAACTGGACCGGGCGACTGGAGTGGATCGTAGAATTGGAACTTTGCGACAGGACGGGAATATCATGGAGAACTTACGTGTTGGATCAGAGAAGAGCACGGCTCGCGGATTTCGACTGCTTGGCAGCAGGAACATAGCTGCCCTGTGTTATCGAAGTTGAAATTGAGGTAATTTCAGTGGTCGGTCAAACCACCGTATTGGAGCGTAATTACCCCCACATATCTTTGCCTTCGTTGTCCCTCGGTTTGCTGACAAAAAGATAACTTTACAAAAATAATAACTGTATTTTTGCCCTTTGTTCAGATCCTGATTCTTGTCGAGCTAAACGGTCAAGGCCTGTGACCGGTCAAGGTCGCGAGTGGTCTGAAAACCGAGTCGACCGGCGACTGATCGGTCGATGCGGCTGCCGCGCTTGGACTATACGCAGTGGAGTATTTCATCTGGAGCATCTGGATTGCTTTAGTTTTCAGCCATGTCTCAGACCACATACCCGTGTCCCCGATCTCTTTGGCATGGGCTAGGAGAGCCCGCTTAATGCATGTGCCACAAACCTTTCAAGCTCTTTTGTTACTGCTGTCAAGCGCTGAAAGATCATGCTGCCTTCAGGACCTTTTCACTTTGGCTGCCCGCTAGTTCTGCTGTGACTAAAAGGATTACACCCATATCGCTGCCGCTTTTGATTTGATGGGCCCATACGCTGTCTTTTCATTTCGCCTTGATGACTCCTTTTGTTGGTTACGATGTTCTCATGCCTTTCTGATGTTTCAAAGCTAATACGCTGCGCCTTTGATGACGGAGTTATGTCTACTTAGTTAACGTGGTTGTAAAGCGCTATGGCCGCTCGCAGTTTGCCGTCTGTGCAGTGTGCATCGTCAGACGTCGTTTCTCTCCCCCCTCCACCACATCCTTGGTGCATCACATGTATCTCCTTCTTACCTAATCCTCTCATTTATTAGCTACCCATCGTTTGTTGCCTTGCATACAATAAAGCTTAGGGAATTCTAGACATCGTAACAATTAAATTGCAAATATGCGTAACAAAGAAAGCTGCTGAGACTGAGCCATGCTTGGAGAACGCATTATTTAAAATTATGACCTAGTTCGAAGCAGCGTGTAATTTGTATGCGGAGTACGATGTCCACCACGGCAACTCATAACTTAGTGATTAATCGATGCTAAGGGTCAGATAAGTCACCTCAATCCACCACAAGACGGAAGTTCTTCCTGACATTAATTTAGGAAAGGCATTATTTGTGACCTTGTTTGCTATTAATTTGATTGGTGTTTGCTGCTAATGTGTGTTTTGCATCTGAGAACAATCGTCTGTGACGGTAGATGTGATAAATAAAGGTCCGCTTAATATTTGAACCCTGTGGAACCTACCTATGTATATACAGTTTTCTGACTTCCGGGAACAGTACCTAAATCAAATATTGTCATTTACATTGGATGACAACGCACATCGTACGTAAAGCGAGTGTCAAAGTGACCTGAACTGCAGACTCTGAGTCTTTGTCGACTTTAGCTACTGTTGGATTATTCTCAATTTGATCCACTGGATATTGACTGGGTAGGAGATCAAACAGCCCAGTTAGCAGCTAAGGCGATATTCAGTAGAAATATGGTCTCATATCTCATCCTCGTTCCTTCCTGATAAATGCTTCAAATTTCGAAGTTTGAAACAGGAACGTTATCTAAAGAAGTTTATACAAACTGCCCAATTTATCAGTGCATAAATAATGATTGAACACAGAACTTTTGCCGTTCAAAACCAAATCTTCATCTAAAAGGGCGTATTTATGAACTTTCAGATAGTCGCTAACTCATCCTGATTTGTGCTCCTGTCGTTTCGTCTCTTTTGCCTACATCTGTTTCAACTTTCAGTGAAAGCTGCCTAGTTTTCGTCAACTGACCTACTTGTTCACAGACACATGTACAGTATTTCGTTGACAGCATCGGCGGCGGCGGTGGCCAAGTAAATTATTCAATGAGGCAGTTTTTAAACTTGAATACCTTTCAGCATCTGGAGTGATTTGAAACGTGCCAACTGCTCAGACCACAGAAACAGCTGGCAATACCGAATGCCTGCTCACTGTTTGCAAGTCAGACTGACAACACCGTCTGGCTGGCTACCTGGCATATATTTCAGGACACATATTGGAGGCCGGGCATAGTCAACGACTCGTAACACGACAACCCCCTGTGTGTGCGGCACCCAGTGAACATGTCGCGGCAGTCGGCACGGGCGGGACCGGACGGGGGAGGGGTGGGCGGCCTAGGAACCGTGCCCAGGAGACGTGCGGGGCTCAGCGCGCGTCTCCTCCGCTCCGGCAGTCCCGGCCGCCCCGCAGTCCCCTCGAGTGGGACTCAGTCCCCTCGGTCCTCAGTCCCGCCCCCGCGGTCCCCCGGGTGGGACCACACCGCGTCTCGTCGCCGCTCTGGTCCGCATTATGGAAACGTTATGGGGAAGCTGGCCGCCGTGGGCCTTTTGAGCTCCGCACGTGTGTCCGCGCTCCACGTGCGAGTGTTCACGTGCGGCACGTGGCACGCACGGCACGTGGCGCACGGACAGGCGCGACTGACAGTGAGGCGTTGAGGGAATCTCATCGATACCGCCGCGATGGAGACGCGTGCTAGCGCGCGCCCAAACAACTCCGCCAGCACCGGCCACTGGCAGCCAGCACAGGAAACAAAGCGATAGACACACTCGTTGCCAGAAAATACATTGCGCTACACATTTTATCATCATGTAGTTCGACTGAATACTCAATTATCAACATCACTACGCATTACCATGGACATGTGTTTCAATGGTCTTCAACGCACAGGTAAATAGCACCAATAGCTATTCATACTGATAGTGGCTCACACATTCTACAGTATACAGTATACACCATCCACACTCGATGTAGGTCGGTTCGATACGCGTGGGTCGAACTCAGTCTGTCATTTTTCGACCTGCACTAGCGCACTCTCCTACTGTTCACCGCTGCCCGGCCGCACAGGATCTTCTTGAAGGCCTGCCGGAAGTCGGGGCTGAATATGGTGTAAATGATGGGGTTCAGCGTCGAGTTGAACCATCCCAGCCAGAGGAAGACGCTCATCATGACGTCGCTAAAGCTGCACCAATCGCCGCACAGGGGCAACATGAGCGCAGTCACGAAGAACGGCAGCCAGCACACGATGAACGCGCCCGTCACGATCGCCAGCGTTTTGGCCGCCTTGCGCTCGCGCTTCGCCTCTAGCGTTTCCTTCTTGGTCTTCTTCTTGCGGTGCTCGGTCTCGCGCGGGATGACGTCCACGCTGCTGACGCCGCCGGCGCCGCTCGGCGCCGCGCTGCCGTTGTTAGTGGGTGTAGCACAGCTGGAGAGCTCGTACTCCGAGCCGCGACTGCAGGCGATTGGCGCTGTCTCCGACTGCGGAGGAGCCGGCTGTGCAGCTCGCTGGTACCGGCTGCGCTTGGCGTTGCCGTTGGACCCGACCTTGTGCCTGATGCGCCGCCTCGCCGCCTGGAAGATGCGCCAGTAGAGAGACAGAATCGCCGCCAGCGGGACGTAGAATGAAGCCATGGTGGCGAAAACCTGGTAACCGACGTCCTGGCTCACCAGACAGGCGTGGTCCACATACACCCTGTGGAGACAGACAAAAGACGAGGTGGTTGTTAGTTAATGTCACGAGGTGCTGAAGTGCTGTATAGGTGTGTGGGTCATTATTTACTGCCCACTTGGAGCGACGCTCGCCAATGGAACACTTATTATGTGTTAGCTGTGAGCGCGTATGGCCTTTTGCGAAACAATACAAAATCGATGGAATACGTTGAGCAGTTTGTCTTATGTCATTCATATGTCATGTCAATGGTGTATGCTTGTTCAGCGTATGTATGTAATGGTTCTTGCACCGAAACTGAACGGCTCGTCGGCTCTCCTGTATTTGTATTTAATGGTAACGTATGCGTTATATGTGGTGTGATGTAAACACCTTTTCTTTAACAAAGGAATGAGGTACACCGTACAATACCTTCATAAAACAAAGATATTATTTTTCGTGTTATGAACATTAGAGGAAATTCAACTTAAAATGTAAAAATGTAAAATGCTGACGGACGGTATAAAATGTACTTGAAATGCTTATAAACTATAAATTTTATGTCAATTGGCAGGTAGGCCAGCACAAATGCTTTTGAATGAATGATGCATTGCGAAGACGATACAAGTCTGATGACAACGATAGAATAGACAAAGCAGCAACCATTTCAGGAAAGATAAACGAGGTAGTACATCCAAAGGTAGATACTAGCCGTTTTCACGACGGCCATCTGGTACACATTTTGTGCAGATTAGGTGCATATTTGATGCAGATTTGGTCAAATTGGGTTCAGTGAGTTTCTTTCAAGTTATCAATTTGGGCTGCTTATGCTCGTATGCCTCGTTTTTAAAATCATCAGACATTATTTTTAACACTGAAATAAATTCATGACACAAATATATTTCTTGTAAAAGAAATTTGGTAAATATTTGGTCAAATTAGGTGCATTCGCCAGATAGCCCGTCGTGAAAACGGCTAATGTGACGAAAAACTACTCGACTACATGAATAGTTATCTCCAAATGAATGGGCCACCTCTTCTCAACACTCAGCACTAATAAAATGCACACGTTTTTTTCTACTTATACACTAGGAAAACGCGTCACAAATAGCTCACCTTTCCTCGAAGTTGGCGTCCTTCCAGCCGAAGAGTGGTCCCACGGAGATGGCCAGGGCGAACACCCAGATGAGGACGATCATGGTGAGAACCCGTCGCGAGTTCCTGGACTGGATGTAGTTTATGTTGGTCACCGCCCAGTACCTGCCGGAGAGAGGAAGCACTCTGGGTCATCTGGTGCAACACTGTGGTGTCAAGTTGGGTGAGCGGGCTGGGTGAAATACATGCAATGAAATAATGCCAGGTATATTACGTGGTCGTGCCATTCTTTTTCATCCTCTGCTAACTTTTCGTTTACTTTGCAATGTAACTCTTGTATGAGCAAAACCCTCAGGACAGCAACGCACTATTTTACATTAACCCACGAGCCGCTGGGGGGGGCATAAAGTTGCCCCCCCCCTTTACGTTTTGTGAAATATCTCCGAAACTTGATGAGCTACGAAGGTGAAACTTGGCATAGCTTCAAATGAATACCTAGGCAATGTTTGAGGAAAGTTTGGTGGTTGTAGCACCTAAGATGACGTCACAGTGACGTCATAAAGTTTTGTCGTTTTCCGATATGGACCGTTTCCGATGACGCTGAGCATGAAAATCAACTGTAAATGAACTAGACAGCACCTGCTGTCATCCTAAAACATCTAACTACACTTCCATCTAGTTTCTGACCAATAATCGACCCTTTATATTCGGTCCCATATATCTGATGTATCGCGAGGAATATGAGAATCGCAAATCTATAATTTCACTTATGACGTCACTGTGACGTCATTTCAAATGGGATCGACACCAAATTTGGACAAAACCTCGGCTAGGTATTCAGGAAGATGTGTGCAAAGTTTCGCTTCTCTATCTCTTCGCGTTGCGACGATATCGTCGCAGAAGTAAAGGGGGGGCAACTATATGCCCCCCCCCCCAGCGGCCGGCGGGTGGCGCGGAGGCCCAGCGGCCGCCGGGTTAAATCCTAAGAAAATCAATTTATTGACATCTCGGGGTAGTGGGATAGCTCGCTAGTTCAAAGTGCGAGCACACAGTTATCTACAGTGCGTTTTGCTTTTGGTCGAAAGCGTATAATTTAGCGCTCTAGCTCAGAGAGTTAACGATATAATGAGCGGCTGAGTCAGTCTTTGCTTTTCTCCTGCTGAGATTAAGCCGTTAACAACTATTTGAAAGCGAGAAGAAATTTCAGGATTCGGGGTGTCCTATTGCCGATGTTGCTTGACGACTGCAAGTCCAGTCATCCGCATTCCAAAAGCAGTTGATAAAATGCAGGATATGCGCAGAAAACATGCATATTCTATGTGTCACTACGTAAGATCCTCAATGCTTAGACAAAGTTGTGCCCGGTTATCGAAATAAAGGCAGACTGATAAAGATGTTGAAGATAGAGTTACATTGGGCTGTGGAATGGGCAATCTTTATTTTCACATTACTGAAATTATCTCTAAGATACCTGTTACGGCGAGACTTAGGTTCTTTCGCTGTATTTAGTAGGGGAGAGTGGGGTAAGATGCCCAGGGTGGGAAAGACGCCCCACCCCCTCTAGCGGGGAAACAAAGAATCGAACCTGGAAATTAATGTTCTTAGCGTAAAGCGGAAGCCTGACTTGTTAACTGCACAAAAATTTGCGAAGCTCAGTTGGGCAACGCACACTGGTCGGAAACGCCCTCACGAGAGGCCACGGGCGATTCCGGAGTTTCGGATTATTTTTTATATAGATCGATTTGAAATTGATCAAATTATTATACTGTTACGTATGTCGATGTATGGCTCTATCTCTGCCTGTTGCGCTGCCTCTGCCTGTAGCGCAGTTGTGTCTGTAGCCTGTAGTCTCTTAAGTGACGCGCGGTATGTCGGCCGCCGTGGTCCCGGTGGCCTAGTGGCTTACGGCGCATGTATCGCCTGGTCGAGACCGTTTTTGCCTTGGGTTCGAGACCAGGCGGGTGAACCTTTACGCGATTGGTGATCTGCGAGTCTATGTGGGCTAGTGATCGAACACTGCGCCCTGATTGGCTGGTGGCGTGACCGGGGGTCAGGGTCGGCCGCGGCGGGCAGTCCCGGCCCGGGAGTGAGCAGGTGAGCACGCGTTCCTCAGCCCTCTCGCCTGCCTTCCTCAGATACGAGCCGTGCTGATACCGACGGTGCAGCGCTCGTGCATTCAGGGCTACCCCCTGAATGTCCCCTTTCCTGGTGCTTGATATTTCGAGCACTCGTCCATGCTGCTTGGTGTTCCGAGCGCTTGCCCATGCTGCTTGGTATTCCGAGCATGTTGTCCCATAGCCTCGTCCCTGCCATGGCTCCATTTCTCCGAGTCACTGTACACGAGTAGTTAGGCTGTTAATTACAGGCTGATATGTGTTGTCGGGTCAAACTGTTACCTTGGGAAACCGTGCTGTTCTAACCATTGAAAAGGTGCCTGGCTGGAAATAGACAGCCCAAGTGAGTTTACTGTGTGTCCAGGCGCGTAACCACCACTGGGGACACTGGGGACCGGTCCCCAGTAACTTTTAGGTTACTGGGGACCGTCCCCAGTAAAACCGAAGACCTCCTTAATTTGCTGCCAACTATTGTCTCTAAATCGACGTGAAGAGTAATATGTAGGTAGTAAAAAAGACAAAACTATGGATATTTTGTTTAGCCAGCGCCCGGGTGGGCCTCTCGGCCAACTTCGCCATGGTGAGAGGGGGGGGGGGGCTTTTTGGCCGCACCAGATTATCTCGGAAAGTAAGCAAGCTAGAAAGACGCGGTAAAAAGCAACATATAGCTCGCTACAGTGTCTTTCAGAATTACTTCTGTCAATTTTAATCGGTTCAGAGATGAGGTCACTGGAGGTCACCAAAGGTAAAATTTTCACGAACGTTTGTTGCCAATTTTGACAACTTTTCACAAATCGGCGCATAACTCAGGAACCGATAGAGCTGCATTGCTGCGGGAAAGCGCATTCGATAGCTCTTTTGAATGCCTTTCTGATTAATGTTCTCAGATTTGACCTAAGGTCAACGGTTTAGCTTCCAGGTTGGCGTTTTTGCGGAAAAGGTTTTTGGATCATAACTTTTGACTCAAAACTTGTATGACGCTGATTTTACCGGCATCGCGTTTGTCTCGTCGAGACGCGTCGAATGAATTATTAATTTACCTGAAAAGGTCAACATGAAAATTTGACCCCTGGTCAAGGTCACGGAAAAGGTCATGTTGCATGTCATTCGATTGGTGTTGTTGAGCTGAACCCATTCATGGTGTTTTAAGGGCTCTAGCATGTTTCTACCTAAAGTTATAATTAAAAACTGTTGCAGATGTTTCATGACCTGGAGATGACCTCAGGGGCATAGAAGGGGTCACAAGGGGCAATTTTCCGGTTCAGTGTTTACCTGTGTCACGGTGTTTGAATGTGTTTTCGGCCAAAAGAAGAGCATTTCAATTTTTCCCAATGACTTATAACGAAGAGGTCTCAAAATTGACCTGACATTAGGTCACCGATGTGAAAATTTTGAGACGATTGTTCATACTGATTTCCTCATGCAAAAGTTTGAGTTTCAAACTTCTGGGATGTAAACTGTAGGAATGACAGTCACAAAGTTTTCTAGAGGCATGGCTACTTTACTTGACCTGGTGACCTCACCTTATAGGTGACCGGCGGTCGAAATTTTCACACACGATGCGAAATTGAGGTATCATAGGCTATACCTACCAAGTTTCGCGACGGTGCGCGCCGCGGCTTTCCTTACACGCCCAGCAAAAAAAAAAAAACTGGCAGGTGTGGCTAAAAACGCCCCCCCCCCACCCACCCTCTGCCCCCCCCCCCCCCCCCACCCCACTCGGACCAAGGCTGATCCTGAAATATAATAAATATTTGGTCTTCGCGGCCCTCCATGTGGTCCCCAGTAACTTCAAACTCGTGGTTACGCGCCTGTGTGTGTCAGGGATAAAAGGGCAGGAAGTTTGGAAGGCAGGGCTATCCAGGAGTAATTAACGTAACACTGGTGTCAGAAGTGGGATACTTGATTTTCTGGGAAGTAACTGAAACAATTAAGTTTTTTTTTTTCACTCACCTTCTCCCACATAAAAACCCACATCATGTCCGAAGACAAAAGGGTAACGAGAAGCCAAACTGAGCAGGGGAAGTTACAGCTTCCGGGAGATTTGGGAGAGCAAATAGCAACGCTGATGCAGACCAAGCTGGATGAACATGACGAAAGGACTCAGGCAGCATTTGTATTTTGTATTTATTTGCGTACGGTCTCCATGTGATGGCTTTTCAGACCGCGCATGTACGGATTTGTAAACACAAATACTACATTTAACATTGCCCATTACACATCATGAATGCATGCATGCATAGTCATTAGTCACACACGGCTACCCGTTACGACTGGCGTTCCAGTGGGCCGTTGCACGGTAGTTGAAGAAACGCTTTGCGAGTTCCGTACGCACGCGGGGCAATTGTAGAAGGCCAGCTGAAGTAGAACGGGTACCTCTATCAGATGCGTAGCCCTTCAGATGCATGCCCTTCAGGAACGAATGCAGAACATCACGGACCTGGTCATGGATTCAGGACATCCTGTTGGGAGAGACAGGGTTCAGGAACTCCCAGCAGCCACCCCAGGGATCAGCCGATGTGACAAAGACAGACGCATCCCTCAAAGCTTCGATGGTGCCTCATCTTGGCGTGCATATTTCACACAGTTCCAGCTAATTGCAAGCCAGAACAAGTGGACAGAAGAGGAGAAGGCGATGCAGTTGGCAGCGAGTCTGAAGGGTCCTGCGCTGGAGATCCTTGGTCACCTCCCGGAGGCCCAGTGCCGAAACTTTGAGAAGCTCACAGAAGCGCTGAACCAGCGTTTTGGGGTCGAGCACCAGGAGGAGGCCTTCAGAGCGCAGTTCAGGACGCGCTCTCGTCGTCCTCAGGAACCTCTGGCCGAGCTCGCACAAGACATTGAAAAGTTGGCATATCTGGCCTACCCGTTGGCTCCTGCAGAGTTTCGCGGCATCCTGATCCGAGATCAGTTTATTGACGCCCTGGATGACATCGAGCTGAAGATATCCGTTCGGCAGACCCGCCCGTCCGCCCTCAAGGACGCGCTTGGTTGTGCGCTGGAGTTGGAGTCAATCCGGAGATCAGTGAAGCCGGCAGAGACAACTGGTGATGGAACATCCGGTTTCAAGACGCGCGTAGCCAGCGCTGGTGCTGAAACTGCTAGGTCTCAAGAATCCGTTCTACAACAAATCATGCAAGCACTAGCAAGGATAGAGCGCAGTCAAAGAGCTACGGGAGAAGGAGCAGCGGCCTCAGGATCAGTCAGTGATAATCGACGACGCACTGATGCCTCCTGCTGGAACTGTGGGCGGCGAGGTCATCTGCAGCGGAACTGTCGGCTTCCCATCCGAGGCGGGAAGGATCAGCGGTCTGAACGGAGTGGACAGCCGTCACAGCTGGGAAACTGAGAACGGCTGACGAAACGGGACATCAGTCAGCCGACCTCAAGATAAGTCCCACTGTCACGAAAAACGTCGCCCGATGCAGCAATCCTGGCTCTCTTGTAGTGACCGGAACAGTAAACGGAAGGAGACAGCGCATTTTGGTGGACTCAGGCTCAAACAAGACGATTGTGCGAAATGACGTTGTTGAAGCCAAAGACATTCCAGAAGCCCAGGTTGACCTGTGTGGAGTAACGGGTCATCGCATACCTCTTCGCGGTCCAGTGGATGTAGAACTGCAAGTGGGGACCGCATCTTTGCAACACTCCGTGTACGTGGCAGACATCGACGATCCCTGCATCCTCGGACTTGACTTCCTGACCAAGTACAAGTGCAAAATTGACATACCCAATCTAACGATGGAAGCTGCTGGCGTGCAGGTCCCAATGCAAGTACAAGCTGAGCACAGTGTCAGCTCATACAGGATCACAACACAAAAGGCAATTCGAGTCCCGCCCATGTCAGAAATGGTCGTTCACTGCCGCGCGGAAGGTCTGCCTGATATTAACGGTGCACACCATGCGCTCATCGAAGGTAGTGAGATCATTGACAGAGGCTTGCTGGTGGGCCGCACCCTGGTTGACTGTGGGAAGCCAGCGGTGCCTGCTTTGGTGGCAAACATCTCTGACAAATCCATCAGCCTGCCTGAGGGGACTCTGCTTGGGACCTGCGAATTCGTCAACTGCATTGAGGAGGTAAAGGAAACGCATCTAAAACCTGTGAAGCACTCCGAATCACTACCTGAGCATCTTCGAGAACTATACGAACGTAGCCAGTCCGAGTTGTCCCCTCATGAAGCACAGGAGCTGAAGAACCTGCTTACCATCTATGCTGATGTATTCTCGAGGGGTGGTCATGACTTGGGATGCACAGATCTGACCGAGCACACGATCGACACGGGGGACCAGCGACCGATCAAGCTGCCACCAAGGAAGGTCCCTCTTGGAAAAAGGGACGAAGCTGAGGAAATGATCCGGGACATGGAGCAGCAGGGGTTGATTGAGCCATCGAGGAGTCCCTGGTCGTTCCCTGTGGTCATGGTAAAGAAAAAAGATGGCACCTTACGGTTCTGCATCGATTACCGAGCGTTAAACCAAGTCACTGTGAAGGACTCCTACCCTCTGCCCAGAATTGACGATACGCTTGACGCCCTGTCTGGAAGCAAGTGGTTCTCCACTCTGGACCTGAAGTCCGGCTACCACCAAGTCAAGATGGCAGACCAAGATAAAGAAAAGACAGCATTCTGTGCGGGCGGAGGGCTTCAACTTTGGCAGTTCCGAGTCATGCCTTTCGGACTGTGCAACGCCCCAGCAACGTTCGAGCGTCTCATGGAGAGGGTGCTGGATGGTCTGAACTGGAAAACTTCCCTGGTGTACCTCGATGACGTAATCGTGCTGGGAAAGACGTTCAGAGAGCAGTCCTCACACTTGGAGGCAGTCTTCAAGCGGCTGCTTGATGTCGGCCTCAAGTTGAACCCCAAGAAATGTAACCTCTTCCAACGTCAGGTGAAGTACTTGGGCCATGTTGTGTCGCACAAGGGCATCTCAGCTGATCCAGACAAGAGCAGAGCTGTCGAAGAATGGCCCGTGCCGAGAGATCAGCACCAGCTCCGTAGTTTCCTGGGACTTTGTACGTACTACCGCCGGTTCGTGAGAGACTTCGCCCTGATAGCTGCCCCACTGCATCAGCTCACTAAGAAGGGACAGCGCTTCGAGTGGTCAGACAAGTGCCAGGAAGCCTTCATCAAACTGAAGCAGCACTTAGTCACCGCGCCCATCCTCGCATACCCAAACGCAACAGACAGCTTTGTGCTGGACACGGATGCGAGCGGCTGCAGCATTGGAGGAGTCCTGTCTCAGATGCAGGACGGAAAAGAGCATGTCATTGCCTACTTCAGTCGATCGCTGAGTAGCGCAGAACGAAACTACTGCGTCACACGGAGGGAGCTGCTGGGCATTGTTGATTCCATGAAGCATTTCCACCACTACCTGTACGGCAAGCATTTCGTCATGCGCACTGATCACGCAGCCCTGCAGTGGTTGAAAAGTCTGAAGGAACCGGAAGGTCAGCTGGCCAGGTGGATCGCTCGTGCTGACCAGTACGACTACGCAATCCAATATCGTCCTGGCCGGGTGCATTGCAACGCTGACGCACTCAGTAGGAGGCCCTGCCAGTCGAGCTGTAAGTACTGCGGCTCGAAAGAAACTGTCAGTGATGTCAGCTGCCGGCAGGTCTCCGGGCCACATCGCCGCCAACACAGTGAAGCTGAAAGACACGAAGAGGCAGACGAGGAGATGTCAATGCCTGCCGCGACGCAACAGGTCTCGGATGTGCGGCATCTGCCACTGCAAGCCAGCCGTACCGACGATTCTAGTGACCCAATTTCAAAGGAGGAGATGCGCTCGGCTCAACTGAAAGATCCCGACACGGGTCCGATCATTCGGCAGCTGGAAAACAGCTCGGAACGCCCAGCCTGGGACCACGTGTCTGGCCTTGGGCTGGAAGCGAAGGGTCTATGGGCACGATGGGATGCTCTGAAGATAAGTGACGGTTTGTTGATGCACAAGTGGGAGTCTTCAGATGGCTTCACAATTCATTGGCAGATTGTCATCCCACGTGAGGTGAGGCCTAAGGTCCTTCAAGAACAGCATGATAGGATCACAAGTGGACATTTGGGAACAAAGAAGACACTAGGAAGGCTGCGAAGCAGATTCTTCTGGCTCGGAATGAGAAGTGATGTGAAGGAATGGTGCCGCTCCTGCAGCGTGTGCTGTGCCAAGAAAGGTCCGCAGGGAAGACCAAAGGCACCGATGCAGATTTATCTCGCTGGGGCACCCATGGAAAGAGTTGCAGTGGACATCGCTGGCCCTCTTCCAGTCACTGCTTCGGGAAATCGGTATATCTGTGTTGCCATGGATTATTTTACCAAGTGGCCCGAGGCATACGCGGTGCCGAACCAAGAAGCGACCACTGTTGCACGTGTTCTGGTTGGCCAATTCTTCACCCGTTTCGGCGTGCCATTTGAGTTACACTCTGACCAGGGCAGGAACTTCGAGGCGAACGTCTTCAAGGAGTGCTGTGACCTGCTGGGCATCCGGAAGACGCGAACTACGCCACTGAGGCCACAATCGGATGGGATGGTTGAGAAATTCAACTGGACACTGGGACAGGAGTTGGCGAAGTTTTGCGCTGAGAAGCAAGACGACTGGGACGAAAAGCTTCCACTACTGCTCATGGCCTATCGATCGGCAGAACATGAAGTGACCGACTATTCCCCGGCTCACATGATGATGGGACGCGACCTGCGCCTTCCAGTGGACCTGGTCATCAGCAGACCACCAGACGCCGACCTCCCACAGAACAGCACAGACTTTGTTCGAAGAATGAAGGGCCACCTCGACGATGTACATCATGAAGTTCGCCGTCGACTGAAGATCACCGCAGACGCAATGAAGACGAGGCACGATGCCAAAGCATGCGACGCAATGTTCAATGTTGGAGAAGCTGTCTGGCTCTACAACCCAAGAAGGGTGAAAGGGAAGTGCCCGAAGCTGATGAGCGACTGGGAAGGACCCTACGAGGTGATGCACCGACTCTCCAACGTCACATACCGAATCAGAAGAGGAGCAAGAGCCAGACCTAAGGTGGTCCACGCGAACAGGCTCTGGAAGTGTCACAATCTCAAGTTCACTTGGGAAGGCACATCGAAAGACAGCAACCAGGAAGCGGTACCACACGATGAGGAATCCGTCCCGAACATCCCAGCTCGAACCTCTGATGAAACTGATGACTGCCAAGATCCTGACCTCTTTGAGCAGCCTCAAGGTCCCACAGAGGATCCAACTCCTCAATATCCGTACTTCCTCCGTCCTCGGCGGGGTCCCAGATGATGTTTTACCTAGGAGTAAGCAGTGGTAGGCGACCATGTCCTGATGTGAACGGGGCTGTCGCAAATGTAAATACTGGCGCGTTGTTTCGTCTGGTTTGTTTTACTCATTAGTGTTGTGTTTGTCTGCCCAAGGCACATGAGTCTGCGCCGTATTATTTCTTGCATTACAGGATGGACGCTATGGAGCTGCTCCATGAGGTGATGGCGCAGCCTGCGGAGTCTGCTGCCGAGCTTCAGCTCTACGACAGTGACCTCGAGGAGTGGCTCGGCGGCCAGACTGCGGGGAGCGAAGGAGCGCTGCACCTGCTGAGCGGCGATTCCATTGCCAGAGACGCCCCGTTTCGGGTGCAACATCCTGACAGGCTGCTGAGGCTGACCGTCGGGGGCATGACGTGGAGCAGGCTTCCGGTTGACGAGCATCTTCGCCAGTGGAAGGAGGCCGCCTCGCTGCAGGGTCTTCGTCTGGGGGTGGCGGTGTTATGGCTCTCGGGCAACGACGTGTACTCCCGGCGCCGAGGGGCTGCTGACCTGCCTTCCGATGGCCACTGGGAGGCGCTTCACCGGACGGTGGAACGATGCACCGCTACCTTGGCGGACGTGGCGGATCGGGTGGTGCTGCTGGGTCCGCTACCCAGGTTTGTTCACGACGCGGGCAGACCGTGGGAGAGGACGGCAGCCTATCACCTGGAGCGGCATATCAGCCACTGGCTGAGGGAGATGGCTCGGCCCGACATCTCTCAGGTGGAGCTGGGGCGCCGGCTCACCCACCGTGTTAAGAAACGGCATGTCGTGAACAGTGCCAAAGAGTTTAACAGAGACGGACTGCATCTCAGTGAGTATGGCTACCATAAGGTCAGCCAGAAAGTGCCAGCGTGGCTGCTGGGAAAGCAAAAGTGATTGCCGTACGACGCAGTGTCTCAGCTCCAGTCACGCTCCTGAGGTCGTGGCCTTGACTGTGTTGCGGCTGGCCTTGACTGGAGCGGACAATCCTTGAAGTGGGGCCTGCTTGTTATCTGAACGCATAAGCTGCGTCCCTGGCAGCGTGAAAGACAAGTTCCTGTCAACGTGTTGTACGGGTGCCTGTGTTATGGTGTCATATCGCGGAGAAGTTTATTTGTTTTCATTTATTTCATCTTTATTATCGAATTTTCGGGACGAAAATGGCATCTCAGAGGGGGGCAGTGTTACGTATGTCGATGTATGGCTCTATCTCTGCCTGTTGCGCTGCCTCTGCCTGTAGCGCAGTTGTGTCTGTAGCCTGTAGTCTCTTAAGTGACGCGCGGTATGTCGGCCGCCGTGGTCCCGGTGGCCTAGTGGCTTACGGCGCATGTATCGCCTGGTCGAGACCGTTTTTGCCTTGGGTTCGAGACCAGGCGGGTGAACCTTTACGCGATTGGTGATCTGCGAGTCTATGTGGGCTAGTGATCGAACACTGCGCCCTGATTGGCTGGTGGCGTGACCGGGGGTCAGGGTCGGCCGCGGCGGGCAGTCCCGGCCCGGGAGTGAGCAGGTGAGCACGCGTTCCTCAGCCCTCTCGCCTGCCTTCCTCAGATACGAGCCGTGCTGATACCGACGGTGCAGCGCTCGTGCATTCAGGGCTACCCCCTGAATGTCCCCTTTCCTGGTGCTTGATATTTCGAGCACTCGTCCATGCTGCTTGGTGTTCCGAGCGCCTGCCCATGCTGCTTGGTATTCCGAGCATGTTGTCCCATAGCCTCGTCCCTGCCATGGCTCCATTTCTCCGAGTCACTGTACACGAGTAGTTAGGCTGTTAATTACAGGCTGATATGTGTTGTCGGGTCAAACTGTTACCTTGGGAAACCGTGCTGTTCTAACCATTGAAAAGGTGCCTGGCTGGAAATAGACAGCCCAAGTGAGTTTACTGTGTGTCAGGGATAAAAGGGCAGGAAGTTTGGAAGGCAGGGCTATCCAGGAGTAATTAACGTAACAATACTTAGGCCAAAAAAAACTAATCCGGGTGACCAAAAATAGCTGTAATCAGCCCCCGAAGATGGGGTATCCCAGAACTCGGAAACTGACGCGGAGCAAGAGGTTTCTTGAGCCGGATATTCAGAGTCTTATTGCTGATAGACACCAAATTGAAATCCCACATATTATGCATCAAACTGTTCGTTATGAAGTTGCCGACTGGTCAGTGCAATTTTTTTGGTATACTTTTTCCCTAACTAAGATGTACTATAGTTTCTTTATGAAGGCTCACCTACAGTGATTCTGGAATGTAACTGCAAAGTTTAGGTAAGGAAACAACAGGTAGTCCCATCTAGTTCCACTCTGATTTTTTGTGAGATGAAGTAGGATTTAAATTTACACCAGGGCAACATAAAAACTAACTGTGCATATTTGCGCAAAATTTGCAGGAGCCGCTCTTCCTACCCAACTACCGCCCGCCCCGCCCCAGTTTCGACTCGGCCGCCGCGCCCGGCTTACGCTGACCTGTGTGGCCTGCACGCATCCATGCGTAGTTGACTGGTCATTAAAAACAGATGCGCTTGAGCTTATGAATTTTGTGAAAAGCGCGTTTTATGTATGCATTAATGTATGTATTGACATCAAAAGCCTTCCACATATTGCGTGGCGATTACGGCTTGCATTTAGAGAGCCTTGCTATTGACAACCATCACTCGGCTGAAGAAAGTGGAAATTGAAACCTTCGTGAATATAAGACGCTGCAAATATAGGACACCTGTCACTGACGTCGGGTTACCTTGGGCCGTCTTTTTACATTAGATCACAATTCTGGTATTTAACCCTGGCCGGACCGATTGGTTTTCTACATTGACCGGGGAGGGTTGGTACAACTCCCTCGCCGTTTCGCCTCTAATTGAGCTAGAGCCTCGCGGAAAAATTGTTTGTTTGCCGTTATAAGATGCAAAAATTAGGTACTACCCGATTTTAAGGTCTTAGGTCAGCCAGTGACCTCTTAGGTCAGGTAAGTGCCACAAGGCACGGGCTCGGTTTTAGGTTAATTACTTTGACAAAAATGGTCGCACTGCCGCGATTTTGGCATAATCGTGTTTGTCTAGCTCAGGCGCGTTGAATGCTATACTTGGTGTTCGGGTGAAGTCAACTTAACCCTCGCCTGCACAGGCCATTTTGCGTCCTTCGACGGCACAAGGGGGGGGGGTGGTACGACCCCCCCTCGCGTTTGGCCCCTGATCGAGCTAGAGCCTCGCGGAAAAAAACGAGCGTGTTGCCCGTCACGAGAGGAAGCCGATGATACCCAATTGTAAGGTCCTAGGTCATCGGGTGACCTTCCAGGTCAGGTCAATGACCCGAAAACCGGGAAAATCGGGACCTGTTAGAAAGTCGTAAATTGTGGCTGCTATGTGGTTTTCCGAGGTGCTGATCACGAATATCGTATTAGTTTTGATCAGAGATGATGTCTCTAAGCATTTAGACCAGGTCGGGTCAGGTCAGGTCAGGTCAACCGGTAGGGGTTGTGACGGGTATTCGTAATACGTGTCAACCGCCTCTCACAGCTTCGTAACATGTTACGAAGGCGCCAAAACTACTTCGTAAATGTTCAAATGGTTGCTAAATTAGAATTCAGCTTCAAAAACTAGCCTAGAAACATGTAAAACTCGAAAAAGTGAACCGAGGTCACCCGAGGTCACCAAAGGTCAATGACCTGACCTGACCTTCAGGTGACCTTGACACCCATCCTAATATATGGGAGCAACATCAAATCACATGTTTGAATGTTTGAAACCACGAAAAGCTTGCAAACGCGCGGCTAATGCGAGCCGACATACGCCGAATCGCGATTTCGGCCAAACATGGTCACGGAAAAGAGGTCACAGGTCAAAGGTCATTTGAGTCAGGGTCATGAAATTTTCAGGGTAGGTGTAAAATTGATCAATGCGAGGGTACTGAAAGTTTCGTCGCGATCGGCCGCTTTTTACGCGAGTTATTCGCGAAAAACCTTAGGGGGGGTTGCATCAACCCCCCCCCTGTGCCGGCGAGGGTTAAGGTGTTAACCTCGGGTCAAGGTCAGGTCGGAGCCCCTCAGGTCACGAAAATGGTTGAAGGAGGTCATATCGCATATCATTCGATTCGGCAGGTCTTCCTGAGTCCAATGGTGGCTTTCCCGACTCTCTAGCTCCATCTGATCAGGAGTTATTGACGAAAAACTTACATGGCCTTAGTGACGTCATAAATGACGTCACGCAAAGTCAACAATGCTAAAGTCAAGCACTGGACCTTGCAAGGAGTGCATGAAACCATTCCTGGTGCCCGAATAGCAGCTCCCAATTTCCCTTGTTGACTTAAAGTGGTGCTAGATCCTGTATTATACTCAATTATGACGTCATAACTTAACAGATTCACGTCATATATTTAGTGCTTGACATCCAAATGATAGCTTACATATGACAGAGAAGGTATGCAAAGTTTTACGAAGTTTGCTTCACTGGTTGTGGAATAACAAGCAAAAAACTTTTGCGGAAAGGCCGCTGGCCTCTCGCTGGAGCGTTTCCGACCAGTGTGCAACGGCTGGCTGGTGATTGCATGTTTTTTATTTGCTGCTTTCAAAAAATATTTTGGCGTCAAAACATTGTAAATATCAAAGAAGGTAGATAATTTTTGCGTCCCCTGCTATAGTCGTGATACATTAACATTCGTGTACTGTGTCCCAAACAGTTTGTTTCAGGGTGTAGTTTTATGGCTAACAAATTGTGCTGATTTAATGTTACTTCGGTACCTTGGGGTAAGATGCCCCCTGTCCTGATGGGGAAAGACGCCCCCCTAAATCCGTAGGCTGTCCTTCAAGCAGCCCGTCAAATCATTTATTACATACTTGTGATGAGAGACAAAAGCCGATCTGGGACTATTGAGAGTCCGGTACGGTCAGGTGCTCCCCATGCCGGTCTCTCGGCCCACACAGCGACTTTTTGGGCGGCATCTGACTCTGGAGCCCTCACGACGGCCTCTGTGGGCCCCATTATTGGTTCCAGGGCCCCTCACGACATCCTTTGAGGGCTCCCACGTTGGCTCCACGGGCCGCGCTGGCATCTGAGATCCCCACGATGGGCTTGAGGGCCCTCAAGCATCATGAAGACCTATAAGGGCCCCACAGTGGTCTCCGAACGCCACCACGGAGGCTTGTTTGGCCACGCTGGACTATGATGGCCCTAACGATGACCTCTGAAGCCCCTTACGACTACTTTTGAGGGCCCTTACGATGACGTTTGGTGTCTACTGCAGGCTTGAAGGGACTACTGATTCGTTCAGGCGATTCACGTGCCTATTTTTGTCACTTTTAGTGCAGGGGGCATCTTACCCAACGCCAGGGGGCGTCTTTTCCACCCTGTGGGGTAAGATGCCCCCTTTCACTTCTTCAGGAAAATGCTTAATAGCAAAAAAAGTTATCATGTTTCAGGCACGAAAGCGTGTTATTTTTGGAGAAAAATGATGTCGGCTTCCGTTGAAACTCCAAGTTTTGGCTTTCCGATCGTCATTTTCAAATAATATATGACATAGCCAAACCCTGGGCATCTTTCCCCACTCTCCCCTACGCTTTGGTTAATCAGCGCTCACAAGCTAGGAGTTTTACATATTTTTTGAAAAAAAAATGTCACCTTCCGCTTCGTCCATTCAGCAATATCCAAATTCCATATGGCCACCTCCAAATGATCACAGCGATAAAAACAGGTCGGCCCTTACATTTATAGCGCTGAACTTCAGCAGCATCAGCTCCCTGATCTCATCTCAGAAAGGGGAGAATTTCTGCAGGCTCAACTGACCAGCAGCGATGGATCGCCCATAAAGCCACGCATTCCATCATAAAAACACGGATGCTGCGGTCGGGCAGCC